GGTGGCTCAGTGGTTAGCACTGCTGCCTCACAGCGTCAGCGACCCAGGTTCAATACCACCCTTGGGCGACTGTCTGTGTGGAGTTTGCACATTCTCCTCATGTCTGCATGGGTTTCCTCCAGGTGCTCCGGCTTCCTCCCACAGTCCAAAGAATGTGCAAGCTAGGTTGTTTGGCCATGCTAAGTTGCCCATAGTGTTCAGGGATGTGTAGGTTAGCCATGGGAAATGCAGGGTTAGAGGGATAGGTCTGGGTGGGATGGTCTTTGGAGGGTTGGTGTGGACTTATTGGACCAAATGGCCTGTTTCCACACCGTAGGGTTTCTATTCTATTCATAAGGTACCAACATTAGGCTACCTAATAAGTTAAGAGCCATGGTGTTGGAGGTAGTATATTAGCAAGCATAGAGGGTTAGCTAGCTAATAGAAGGTTGAGAGTTGGGATAAGGAAGGCATTTTCAGGCTGTTAACCTGTAAACTTGTGGAGTGCCATAGGGATCAGTGCTATGGCCACAACCATTTACAATATATATCAATGACTTGGATGAGGAAAGTCAAATTTGTGGAAATCACAAAAGAAAGAGATGAGAAGGCAAGTGGTGAGAATGATACAAAATATCTGCAGAAGCACACAGACAGGTTAAGTGTGTGGGCAAAAGCTTGGCAGATAGAATATGGTGCAGGGAAATGTGAGGTTACGTATTTTTGCAGGAAGAATAGAGGAGCTGAGTATTACTTAATTGGAGAAAGCTACAGAACAGAGAGATTTTGGAGTCCTTGTCCACGAGTGGAATGTTGGCCTTTATTTCAAAGAAAATCAAATATAAAAGTAGGAAAAGCAGCATCATAGGAGCAGAGAGGCCTGCTGTGTTCATCCAGCCCTGCACCTTGTTGTCTCGGATTCTCCAGCATCTGCAGTTCCTACTATCTCTGATAAAAGTAGGAAAGTTTTGTTAAAACTTTACTAGGCACTAATCAGACCATAGCTGGAATAATGTGAAAAGTTCTGGGCCCTTTACCCAAGGAAAGTTATACTGACATTGGAGGCAGTCCAAAGAATGTTCACCAGGTTGATACCAGGCATGGAGGGACTGTTTTATGGAGAGGCTGAGTAGATTGGGACTGTACTTGGAATACAGAAGAATGAGAGACAATCTTACTGAAACATACAAGATTTTTAGTGGACTTGACAGGGCAGATGCGGAGAGGCTGGGATCAGAGGGCACAATCTCAGAATAAGGGGCTGCATATTTAAGATTTAACACAGATTTTTAATCATTAAGGGAATCAAGGGTTATGGGAAAAGGCAGCTAAGTGGAATATAGAACAGTACAGCATAGGAACAGGCCCTTCAGACCACCATGTCTGTGCCTACCATGATGCCATTCTAAATTAATCCCATCATCCTGCACATGATCCATATGCCTTTATTCCCCACCTCTTCATGTGTCTGTCTAAATGCCTCTTAAACATTGCTATTGTATCTTCTTCTACCACCTCCCCTGGCAGTGTGTTCCAGCCACCAACCACCCTCTGTGTAAAAAAAACTTGACTTGTACATCTCCTTTAAAATTTCCCCCTCTGACTTTAAACCTATGCCCCCAGATGTTTGACATTTCCACACTGTGGAAAAGCCTCCAACTATCCACTGGATCTTTGCTTCTTATAATCGTATAAATGTCTATCAGGTTATCCCTCAACTTCCATGCTTTTGCCAAAACAATCCAAGTTTGTCCAACCTCTGCTTATGGTTAATATTCTCCAATCCAGGCAACATCCTAGTAAACCTCTTCTGCATCCTCTCTAAAGCCTCCACATCGTTCCTATAGTGTGGCGATGTGAAATGCACACAATACTCCAATGTGGCCTATCTAAAGTTTTGTACAGCTGCAACCTGACTTGCCAACTTTAATACTCAATGCCCTGAATGTTGATTGTAAGCATGCCATACACCTTCTTTACCACCTTATCTACTTGTGTTGGCATTTTCACCCCAAAATCCCTCTGTATATCAATGCTCCTAGAAGTCCTATCATTTATGTATACTTTCCTCTTGTTTTTGACCTCCCAAAATGCATCGCCTCACACTTGTATGGATTAAACTCCATCTGCCAATTCTCCAATACAAGTACAGCCTCTTCCTCGTTTACATATTGTTTCAAGGAACAATCATGGATGCACTTAACAAACTCTGCCCTATTTTAGCCCCTAGCACTAAGGCGATCCCAGTCAATATTGAAGATGTTAAAATGACCCACTACAACAATGCCATTATTTTTTAAAATCTTTCCATGATCTACTTACATATCTCTTTCTCTGTATCCTGTTGGCTATTGGGAGGCCTATAGTATAACCCCATCGTAGTGACTGCACCTTTCTTATTCCTGAGTTGTACCCATAACGCCTCACTGGATGAGCCCTTCAAGATGTCCTCTCCTAGTGCAGCTGTGACACTCTCCATAATCAGTAATGTAACTCCCCTACCCCTTTTACATCCCTCTCTATCTCACATGAAACATCTAAACCCTGCAATGTTGATCAGTCAGTCCTGCCCTTCTCTCAACATCATAATCCCATGTACTAATCCAGGTTCTAAGCTCATCTGCCTTACCTGCTATACTCTTTGCAATAAAAGAAATACAATTCAGACTGACAGTCCTGCCTTGTACGTGAACCTGACCCTGCCTGTTCTTCCTATTGGACTTACTTTACTTAACCTCCACCTTCTCCTCACTCACTCCACTAGCTGACCTACTGCTCCACCACATTAGTTTAAACCCTGCTGAGTGGCACTAGCAAACCTCCCTGCCAGGATATTGGTGTAACCTGTCCTTGTACAGGTCCCACTTGCCCTGGAAGAGATCCCAATGTTCCAACAACATGTTCCAGATATCTGATGCCCTCCCTCCAATATCAGCACTTTAGTTATGAATACAACTGTATTACCTTCCTATTTCTGGCCTCACTAGCATGTGGCACAGGATTACAATCCTACAGGATCTGATTTTCAACTTCCCCCGTAACTCCCTAAATTCTCTTTGCAGGACCTCATCTCTCTGTCTGCCTATGTTGTTGGTACCAAAATGAGTCATAAACTCTGGCTGCTAAACCTTCCCTTTCAGAATGTCCTATGGCCACCCAAAACTTCCTTGACCTTGGCACCAGAGAAGAGCATACCACTTCACTAACTGCCATTACTATCCCGGTAAAAACTATTGGATTAAAAGAAAGACCTTCCCTTGCTAAACCTTAATGCTGCTCGGATTTGAGGATTAACAGATCAGCCATGAACTCACTGAATGGCAGAGCAGACCTGATGGGCTGAATGGTCTACTTCTGCTATTATGTCTTATGGGACCCTGGGTAAAGGGTTTAGTGAATAACGGGGAGTGTGGCTAAGTGTGACAGTGTGTAAAGGGGACAGTGGGTGAAAGAGCCAGTGAGTGAAACGTACGGCGGGTAAGAGGGACAGTGGATAAAGGATACAGTTGGTAACAAATGCAGGAAGTTAAGGATTGAGAAACCAAAAGACTCAGAAGGTTAGAGGTGTAGTAAACATGCAGGGTAAAGTGGAGCCTGGGCTTCCGATTAGTCACTCAGTGATATTAACACTCTGCCACCTTCACCCATGAGAGAAAGTGTGCCCTTCTTGTTTTCAGTGTACCACTCGCAGACTGAGTGTGAAGATCAAGCTGCTGGGCCCTCCTGCCATGCATGTGCCGCCAGTGACAGCGGGGGTCCCTGTTACCTCCAGGAAATATACAGTGGTGCAGGAGAATTCACCTCTATAGACCCTCAAACTAGGCATCCCCATAGGGTGAGGGAAATTACCACCCACTTTGCCATCTTCTATAAAGTCAAAACCAACATTCAGGGGGGCATAAGACTTCTGGAGAAGGTTTTCACTGTGGTGCCTAGCGGGTGAAGCTGGCAGTGCCAATCAACCCCTCAGTGTTGAATTTGCTTTTCATCGGTAATCATTGTCAGTGTTTTCCAACATGGGGATTTGATCTGTCATTGCTCAGGCATTAAGCCCTGAAAGCTGTGTTGAAATGAAAAGCACGATTTTCTTGCAGGCTCTGCGTTTAGCTGGAACACCCTGTGATGAAATCATTGCAACATGAGTGCCCACTGCACCGTCGCCCGCCCCCAAACCCGTCCGCAATGCTACATGGGGCGATCGAGGCCTGCTCTTGCCTAGATTATTGTTCCCCAAAGGGGCCCTTTCCCACCATGAGGTCACTTCTGAGGGTGGCAGGTCTGGCAGTTGTCAGGAGGCTGGATCTCCTCCTGAGTGAGGGCCGGAAGGAAGTATCGGGCAGCTGTGATTCAGGCAGCGAGGGTGGCAAATGGGCATTGACAGGATATGTCCTGTTTGGGGGCAGAAGCGAGGGGGCAACACGGTTTAAAAACATGGAGTCACTCATTTAAAACAGAGATATTTTCTCTCAGACAGCCTGAGTCTGTGTAGCACTCCCTAGAGAGAGAGGTGGGTATGGCTCATTGGATATTTTTAAGGCAGAAGTAGATTGATTCTTGACTAACAAGGAGGGGTGGGGTCAAAGGTTATCAGGGGTTAGCAGCAAAATGAAAACAAGGCCACACTCAGATCAATGCCATGATCTTACTGAATGGTGGAACAGACTTTTGGGACTAATGGCCTCCTCCTGGTCCTAATGAGAGATAACAAGGCGTAGAGCTGGATGAACACAGTAGGCCAAGCAGCATCACAAGAGCAGGAAAGCTGACATTTCGGGCCTAGACCCCCTTCTTATTTTCTGAAGAAGGGTCTAGGCCTGAAATGTCAGCTTTCCCGCTCCTCTGATGCTGCTTGGCCTGCTGTGTTCATCCAGCTCTACACCTTGTTATCTTAGATTCTCCAGCATCTGCAGTTCCTACTATCTCCTGGTCATAATGCATGTGTTTGTAATTGTAAACTCCATTGCCTTCTGTTCAGGTTCAACTGCTGAGCCTTCAACGCCCTGGCACGAAATGCAGCTTACCCTCTTTCAGATTGAGTGCTTTCGCAGCCCTTGAATCCTTCAGCACCTCCTTGATAAAGATTCCTTCTTTGCCTCCACCAGACACACTAAATCCTGTCACTCTAGCTTCGGCCGCTGTCTCCACAATTAATTCCACCATCTCGGACATCTTGAGTTCCTGGTGAGATCAAGGTTGGCATGAGTTAGCCATGGGCATGCACTAAGGCCCACTCGACATGGCTGGGTGGGCAAAATTAGGTGAACCACTGGATTGCCAATCTCTGTATTACTCTCAGAAAACAAACTAAATCCCTGCAAATGCTTCAATGGCTAAAGGGACTCAAGCTTATTTCATAAGATGTGGGAACGTCAGGATTTGTTACCTATCCTTAAATGCCCTTGAACTGAGTGTCCTCTGAAGCCATTTCGGAGGGCAGTTAAGAGTCAATCGCATCACTATGGGCCTGGAGTCACATGGAGGCCAGATCAGATAAAGACGGCAGATTTCCTTCCCTAAAGGATATTAGTGAACCAGATGGGGTTTTATGTCAATCAATGATAGTTGCACAGTCACCGTCATTAAGTCTGGCTTCCAATTCCACATTTACTGGCTGAATTTAAATTACATCAGGTGCCTCAGTGGGATTTGGACCTGTGACCATGAAGCATTAGCCTAGGCTTCTGGATTGGCAATCCAGTGACATTACCACTATACCATATCTCCTCCTATAAAGGGATGAGGGTTATGCTTAAGGATAAGTGAGAAAGTCAGAAAACATTTAAAATCAAAAGAGAACTGAGTCATGGCATACACTCAAGCCTATTGTAATGACAGTGGGTGGAAAGGCACCATGGAGACACCATCAAGCTTCACGTCAAACACATCACCCACGTGAAGGTACATCACCGTTCTTTCATCATCACTGTGTGTCAAAACCTAACAGCACTGTGGGAGAACATTCGCCCCACTATTTTCCTCCATCTTATAGAATTCCTACAGTGTGGAAGCAGGCCATTCAGCCCATTGAGTCGGCACCAAACAGCTTCCCACACCCTATCCCCGTAACCCTGCATTTCCCATGGCCAATCCACTTAATCTACACATCTTTGGATTGTGGGAGGAAACCTACACAGATGCAGACAGAATGTGCAAACTCCACACAGACAGTCACATGAGGGTGGAATTGAACCGGTGGCCCTAGCACTGTGAGGCAGCAGTGCTAACCACTGAGCCATTATGCCACTCAAAGGTAACTGAGGGTAATCTGAGCTATGCAATAATTCATTGTTAGGAATGTCCAAATCTCAAGAAAAAAATTAAAAAGGAGTTAATCAGATTATTTCCAAAGAGATTAGGGCTGAAAGGGTGTGATGAGAAGATGATTGGATGGGCTACAGAGAGATGGTGGATAAGCAAGGATGTCAGATATGGTGGGAGTGGGGGAGATATTCAGAGTGAGAAGATGCTGGGAGTGAGTTTTACAGTGGTTAAGTGAGATTGCTGAAGCTAAATGCCTGACTTCTCTTCTAATTAAACTTACTTTCTTGAGGTGCTGACACTGCTTAAAAAGGCAAAAGCACAGAATCATCTCAGACCCAAACTGGACGTGGATGTGCCCAGTTGTCAGGCTAACAGAAACAATCAGAAAGCTGGTGATTTCAGCTACACCACTGATGCCCAGGATACCAGCTACATTCAACTAGCACCAGGAGTCTGATAAAAAAAAAGCACGGGATCTGACAGACTGTGCAGTCTACATTACCTTGGTTACTCCACCCTGGACAACAGACTCCATGTAGGCTTTAGACTGAGGCGAGGTCGCTGTGATGTCCCTCTTTAATTCATAGAAATGGTTTTACCTCCTCATGAAGTGCCTCCTTTTGAATCTGAAAAGCAGAAAATCTCCAGAACTCATTCCCCAGTTACAGACAAGTCATTCCCAAACTAACAAACACTCTTTTTTAACCATGACTAAAACTTAGTGGTGAGTGGGTAGAGTTGAGGAAACACAGGAACAGGGGGAGACCATTCAGAACACAAGATGACTCTATCATTCAATTAGCTGATTTGTACCTTAAATCTGTTCATTTACCTTGGTTCCATATCTTTCTCTAACCTCACCTTACAAACATTTGATAAAGCTTTGACGTATTCAATTGACCCTTACCCAAACTCTCCCCCCGCCTCTTTCTGACCTCAAAAGCTTTTACAGGGACAAAGTTCTAGATTAACCCCTTTTTGACCTCAAAAGTTTTTACAGGGAGAACGTTCTAGATTGTATTGCCTGAAGAAATGCTTCCTGAGATTACCCATGGAAGGCTCAGTTCTTATGCTATGCATTATGATGAAAAGGTAGATGGGTAGATAGAGCTGTGGAATATGGGGAGATGGTGGGATTGAGGGCTTCCGACAGACACTAGGAGCTGGGTTGATGATGTTGAGGAATATGGGACAAAGGGATATGAAATAAAAACAGAAAGTGCTGGAGAAAATCAGCAGATCTAGGCAGTGTCTGTGGAAGGAGAAACCAAGTTAATATTTTAGTCTGGTATCACTCTAATTTAAAACTGAAGGGGGTTGGAAAATGATGGTATTTGGCCAGTTTACAATGGGGGAAGTGCAGTGGTTGGGATAGATGGTGAAGGTACCCAGAGCAAATGATAAAGGGAGTGCTAATGGTAATAAAGAAGTGATCTTGATGAAAAATAGGTATTAATGGTGGCTGTGAATAGTTGAAAATAAGTCGTCTTTGTTATGAGCAAACCTACTCAAGCAAGTCACAGGGAGGGTGGGGAGGGGAGCTGGAATGTGATCATAATGGAAGATAATGTTGATGTTCTGAAGATGCTGAATGCAATGTAGAGTCCTGAAAGTGGTGAAGTGCCTACATGGAAAGTAAGGTGCTATTCCTCTAGCTTGTGTTGAGCTTTGCTGGATCTCTGTAGCAGGCCTAGGGCAAAGATGTTGGGGCAGTTATTGTTTTGCTGGGGATTGGGAAATTGGGGCTTTTAATTTTCAGGGGAAGCTGGGCAAGTGAGCTTGAGGCATGTGGGAAGGAGGCAGCTTAGTGTCTTTGAGTGATATCGCAAGTACGTAGGCAGGTGGGATTGACGGGCAAGAGTTGGGCTAACTGAGTAAAAAGTCCAGGAAGGTACTGCTGAGGCACACAAGAAGCAAGTCTCGGTTATAAGATCTTGTCCTACCTTTGCAAATTACCAAGCAATCTGAGTGGGATTTCCTGACCCACTCCATTTCTTTGCTTGGAATTCAGTTCACATGACCAACAAACCCCACTGACCAATAAACTTTGAAGTTTGCTTCACATGTGGCCTTCAGACCTTTTATGATGGAATATAGATAGATGAAATGAATGGACAAGGATGAAGCAAATGGATTGTAGTGTGGCAAAATGTGAAATTATCCATTTTGGCAGGAAGAATAAAAAAAAATTTAAATGGTCAGAGATTACAGAGGTCTGAAGTTCAAGGGTGTAATTATGTTTGTATTCTACAGTATGGTAGTATCAATACGTTTCATCAGTGTGTTATTGTACTATTTTCAAAGTGTTTGTGTGGAAAGGACATAGGGATAAAATCAAGCGGATGATATGTTCAGACACTGGCACAGGCATGATGGGCCAAATGACCTCTTCCTTTGATGTAAAACCTAGGCCATAAATCTCATGGAATTCCAGTCGACCAAAGGCTGACCATCTCAATTTGGAGTGGCACACTCATGCTAGTACCAGAGAGACACATTCTGAGTCTAACCGCATTCAGCTGAAAGCAGGGCCTGTGGGTTGAAGATACAAACTTTTTCTCCAGTTCCTGAGAAGCACAGGCTCAGGGGTAGTGTAGGATAGTAGCTATGTTACTGCGCTAATAATCCAGCGACATGAGTTCAATTCCCACCACATGTATTTGGCGAATTTAGGTTTGGTTAACTGATCAAATCCAGAAAAAAAAACCTCATCTGAATGACAAAAGTTCCTTTGTTGGCTCCTTAATGAACTATTCCTGATTTGCCATCTTTCACCCTAATACACATGATCTAATCCAAAACTCATTGTGCCACACAATAGCAGCCATACCTACAGTTGATGAGGTCATTAGTTTTGGAATTTTTCTCACTAAACCATTCTGACTCTCCACCTGCCTCCTTTAAGACCTTCTCCTTTGGTCAAACTTTTGGTCTTCAACTGTAAAAGCGTTTTATGTGGCTTCGTGTTACATTTTGACAGACACTGCTTTTGTGGTGTGCCTTGGGACAGTTTTCCTGCACTATTGATACTGTACACATATGAGGTTTTGTGTGTGTGTGTCTGATCTTGTTGTGTGAATGTGTACATGGTTATGTGTCTATTTCAGTGCATACCCTCATGAGTAATGGGAGAAATTTATTGAGTCAGTCATAGAGTCAAACAGCATAGAAACAGACCCTTTGGTCCAACTAGTCCACGCCAACCAGGTTCCCAAACTAAACTAGTCCCACTTGCCTGCCTTTAGCCCATATCCCTCCAAACCTTTCCTACTCATGCACTTATCCAGATGTCAAAATCGAACTGGAGAGGGTGAAGAAGATGGTGAGGAATATTCACTGTTATAAGATCCGCTGATATTGAATTAACCCATACTCATGCAGAATATTCGAGAAATAGTGGAAGGTTGACCATCCTCTGATATTCACAGGAGATCTGTAATTAAAACAACAGTCACATGTAAAACAAATAAAACTAGCTGAAATAATATAAACTGATTCTCAGGCCTCATAAGGTCAGAATATCAATTTCAAGGATAGTTAGGGATGGGCAATATAAAGCTGACCCAGCCAATGATACCCACATCCCATGAATGAATTTAAAACACTCCACAGGGTCTATATGTTCAAAGTATCAATACACAGGGTCCATATGGCCAGAGTATCAATATACAAGGTGCATATGGTTAGGGTATCAATATACAGGGTCCATTTACTTACAGTATCGTTACACTGGCCCATACTGTGGCTGTATATTACCTACTGGTTTGTATCAATAGAGGGTGGGAAGGCTGGTGGAAGATAAAATGGTGTTGGGAGAGAAACTCCGCTGCCAGGGGATGTAAGGAGTATTCCCAGTGGTAGGAATGGGCCGGCTGCTGGTGGGTAGCCAATGAATTGACCTGTTAAACAGCAAGTTACGGAAAATGACATGAAATGAGGACATTTTAATTAAAATCAAAGATCCAGTGTCTTAGACCCCAGAATGATGTTTCCCTTTGTGGGGGAGACTGGAACAGAGGGACACAAGTTAAGAATAAAAGGTCTCTCTTAAGAACCTGAGATGAGGAGGATTTTTTTTTCTCTCCAGAGGGTTGTCCGTCTGTGGAATTCTTGCGCTGAAAACAGTGGAGGATTGATTATTGAATTTATTCAAAGCTAAGTCGAGATAATTTTATTTGATAGCAGAGTTAAGTGCACAACCAGATTCTTATGTCACTCCCACCAATTACTACAGTCATACAAGTCCAGAATCATAGCAGCTCAGAATGAGGCCATTTGGTCTATCAAGTATTTGATGGCTCTCAGTAGAACAATCCAGACAGTCCCACTTCCCACCTTCATCCCTATAGGTTTGACTGTCCTTGAAGTACCTGTCCAATTTCCTTTTGAAATTGATTATAGTGTCCACTCACACCAACTTGGTAGGCTGGGAATTCCGGGAAATTACCATCTCTCCCTCACATCCCTCCACAACTCTTTCCTGAAATCTTATATCTGTGTCCCCAAGTCATGGGACTACCAACATCTTTCATTTGTCTACCTTATCTAAGCCTGTCATAATCTTGTACACTGCCATCTAGCCTAAATTCATAAATTCCTGGAATTACTCTGAGAAGCCCTCTGCGCCTTTCAAGGATGAGGCAACCAGATCTGGATGTAATACTCCAATTGTAACTTAATCAGAACTTGGTGAAGTTTCAATTTCTCTGGTCTTGAATTTGCTACACCTATTTATGAAGCCTAAGATCCCACTGACATTGGAAACAGTCAGATGTAAAATGATGTGATATCCAGCCTAGCCTGCTGCCAAAAAAGCTGTCCATTGGTATAATGTTCAGTTAAAACATGGACACACAAACCTTGTGCCAAATATTCAGAAAGCTCTGGTTTCTTATCATTGGTTTTGTCACGACTGGGCTGCAGACTGGGTATGACTTTATTCTATTTACAAAGTGCCAAATATTACTGAGTCAGGTTCACCACTTCCATGATATCACAGGCTTGTAATTGATTTGATTTATTGTTGTCACATGTACCAAGATACAGTAAAAAGTATTGTTTTATATGCTCTACAGTCAGATCGTACATACAAAGCGCATCAGGGTAGCAGAACAGAGTGCAGACTACATAGTTACAGCCACAGAGAAGGTGCAGAGAGAGAGACATTTGAGAGGTCCATTCAAAGGTCTGGTAACAGCAGGGAAGAAGCTGTTCTTGAATCTGTTTGTATGTGTATTCAAACTTTTATATCTTCTGCCCGATGGAAAAGGGTGGAAGAAAGTATAACTGGAGTGAGAGGGGTCTTTGATTATGTTGGTTGCTTTCACAAGTCAGTGGGAAGTATAGGTGGAGTTAATGGATGGAAGGCTGGTTTGTGTGATCGACTGGGCTATGTTCACAACATACTGTAGTTTCTTGAGGTCTTGGGAAGAGCAATTGTCATATCAGGCTGTACAAGTGCAGTGCCTGCCTGTTGAGAAAGATTTCTACATTGCCAAAACCCAAGTCCCTACTCCACCCAACACTCCATTACTTCTACTGCTGGTTTATCAAAGTGCATCCTGAACACACTTGCAGTCAAAATAAAAATTATATTGGATATTTGGCCAACATAGTTCTTGGGATGAAGCTCTACACCAGGCTATGACACTCCATCTTCATTTACCAAGCCAATGAGTTCCATGGCAATCAGAGCCCTGATGGCAAACTGTTTTACTTCTCTATACTAATGTGGTCACAACATGTGGTTGCCATTTTTTCATTTACTCATAACCACAAGGAATTTTAAACAGTACTTGGAATTTACCGTGCTGTTAGGGAGGGAGTTCCAGAACTTTTCCCAGCAACATTGAAAGAAGGGCAATATATTTCCAAGTCAGGATGCTGAGTAGCTTGAAGGAGGACTTACAGGTGGTGGTGTTCCCATGTATCTGCTTGACCTTCTAGATGGTAGAGGCTGTAGGTTTGGAAGGTGCTGTCTGAGGAATATTACTGGTTTACTGGAGTGCACTTTGTAGATATTACACACTGCTACTGTGCATTGATGATGGAGGGACTGAATGTTGAAGGTGGTGGATTAGTTGGTGATCAAGTGGCTGCTTTGTCATGGTGCTGAACTTCTTGAATATTGTTGGAACCACATTCATCAAGATAAATGGGAATATTCCATTATACTCCTGACTTAGATCTTGTAGGATATAGACAGACTTTGGGAATTAGTAGATCACATTCTCACTGCAGAATTCCCAGGAACTTAGCTTCTCTTGTAGCCATAGCAGCAGTCCTGGAACAACTTGGCTATGGGTACTGCAAGTTCTGGAACTCAAGTCTTCAGTATTATTGACAGAATGTTGTATAGGGCCCAAAGCCTTTCTAATATTTAATACCTTCAATTATTTGTTGATCTCATGTGTAGTGAATAAACTGGCATCTGTGAATTCTGGTGACCACAGGAGGAAGTTGAAATACATTGTCAATTCAGCACTTCTGAACAGAGATTGCTGCAAAATCTTTGACCTTGTCTTCTGTACTGATGTGCTGGCCTTGTCCATCATTGAGAATTGAGGTTACAGGTTATGGTTGAATAGAATTCTGTTGTTACTGACAGCCCACAGTTCCTCAGAGATGTCTAATTTTGAGCAGCTTTGAATATATCCCACTTAGCACAGTGGTGGTACTATGTAGAGGGTATCCCCAGTGCAAACAAGGGTCCTTGTCTCCACAAACACTGTACAACGGTCACCCACATTGACATTGTTGTGGAGAGGTATATCTGCAACAGGTAGGTTGGGGCAAATTCAGGGGAGATGGTGGTGTGTGTTAAAGACACTGGGCCAATAATTCAGTGGTCCACACCCAACCCAGGTCATGCATATCATTGGGGTTGAGGGGCAGTTGGCTGGATGGCTGGTTTCCATGAACACAGGGTTTGACTCCCCCTCCTTCCCCTACCCATGATGGTGGTCATTGCACTGTCGGCCAGATTTTCCATCAGGCAGAGAACTTGAAAAGAAGAAGACTAGGGTGTGGACAAAGTGAAGGATTTAATAATTAGAATTTTATCATAAACTGCAGCACAGAAAGAGGCTATTCATCCCATTGTCCCTATATCAGCTCTTTGAAAGAACTATCCATTTCCTTTCAGTCCCCCATCCTTTCCTTCAGGACTCCTACATCTCCCTTTCTTTAAGCACTTCCTTAATTATTTATAGTCCTCCAGGCAGCACATTTCAGATCATAACAACTCGTAGCGTAATCAACTTTCCCCTCGCCTCCCTTTGGGTTCCTTTGCCAACCCATGACCCCCAGTTACTGCAGGTCTGGCAGCATCAGAACTGAGGAAGGGTCACCAGACCCGAAACGTTAACTCTGTCTTTTCCTTCACAGATGCTGCCAGACTTGCTGAGCTTTTCCAGCAACTTTGTTTTTGTTCCTGATTTACAGCATCCGCAGTTCTTTTGTCTTTTTACCCCCAGTTACTGCCTGTTCTGCCATGGGAAACAGTTTCTCACCAGTCACTCTAACAAAACATCTTGCAATTAGAAAAAGAACATTTCACTCAGGCCTCACTGTTCACTTGTAAATACAAATCAGTTCCAACGATTGTTTCCAGTGCAGTATGCTGGACTAGATCCTGTTTTCTCCATTGTAGGATTGGCCAAATCACCAACAGAACTCAACATCCTGTCAGAATATGATCAGTGCATCCAAAACCATCAAATACAGAGTATGAATGTAAGAACAAAGAACAAGAGCAAGCCACTCAATCCTTTGAGCTTGCATCCCATTCACTAAGATCATGGCTCATCTGATTTTAACCTCAACTCCACATTCCTGCATACCCCTGATAATCTGTCATTCCCTTGGTAATTAAGAATCTATCAACTTCTGCCTTAAAGACATTTAAAGATTCTGCATCCACTACCTTTTGAGGAAGTGAATTCCAAAGATTCTCAATCCTTGTCAATTGAATACAAAGTTGGTTTTATGGTAGGAGACAGAGGGTGGTGGTGGAGGGTTGTTTTCCAGACTTGGAGGTCTGTTACCAGTGGTGTTCCCCAGGGATCAGTAGTGGATCCACTTTTGTTTGTCATTTATATAAATGATTTGGATGAGAATATAGAAGGCACGTTAGTAAGTTTGCAGATGACACCAAAATTGGTGGCGTAGTGGAGAGTGAAGAAGGTTATCTAAGGTTACAAAGGGATCTTGATCGATTGAGCCAATGGGCTGAGGAGTGGCAGATGGAGTTTAATTTGGATAAATGTGAGGTATTGCATTTTGGTAATACGAACAAGGACAGGACTTATACAATTAATAGATGGGCTCTGGGTAGTACTGTAGAACAGAGAGACTAAGGGGTTCGGGTACATAGTTCTTTCAAATTTGCATCACAGGTCGACAGGGTGTTTAAGAAGGCATTTAGCAGTTTGC